CACGAGGCAAAACTTACCAAAAGACTCGCAGCGCGTGCGTCGTCGAAAAGATTACGTCAACAAAAAATTCCGCCGTGGGCCAACCCATCCCGAGTTGCACACTCTTGTTTATCTACTCTTGGTATTATGCTATTTCCTTGTTTTGGTAATGCACGCCAGACATGAACTAGAGAAGAGACAGACAGATGAACAAACAGGCAGGCAACCAAACAGACAGGAGGGCAGGCAGAAGGCAAACAGACAGACACAGACAGACACAGACAGATATACAGACATACAGGCAGACAGACGGACGGACAGACAGACAGACAGACAGACAGACAGACAGACAGGCTGACAGACAGACATACAGGCAGACAGACGGACAGACGGACAGACAGACAGACAGACAGACAGACAGACAGACAGACAGACAGACAGACAGACGGACAGACAGACAGACAGACGGACAGACAGACGGACGGACAGACAGACAGACAGACGGACAGATGGACAGATGGACAGACGGACAGACAGACAGACAGACAGACAAACAGACAAACAGGGAAGAGAGAAAGAGAAAGAGAGAGAAAGAGAGAAAGAAAGAGAAGAGAGAGAGAGAGAGAGAGAGAGAGAGAGAGAGAGAGAGAGAGAGAGAGAGAGAGAGAGAGAGAGAGAGAGAGAGAGAGAGAGAGAGAGAGAGAGAGAGAGAGAGAGAGAGAGAGAGAGAGAGAGAGAGAGAGAGACAGACAGAGAGACAGAGAGACAGAGAGAGAGACAGAGAGACAGAGAGACAAAGAGACAAAGAGAGAGACAGAGTGAGAGTGAAAGAGAGACAGAGAGACAAAGAGACAAAGAGAGAGACAGAGAGAGAGTGAAAGAGAGAAAGAGAAGAAGCAGAAGAAAAGGAGAGACAGACATAGAGAAGGAAAAGGAGTAAGAGAGAAAGAGAAGAAGCAGAAGAAAAGGAGAGACAGACATAGAGAAGGAAAAGGAGTAAGAGAAATAGAGAGCAGGCAGTATTCCAGCAGTCAGGACATGTTAGAGGCTTACCCGAGCACGTAGTCCCGTTACCAGTATATCCAGTGCTGCAGTTACATGTTACGTGTGTGGAGTTCAGACTTGTACAGACTGCATTCTTGTCACACCGGTGCATGCCGCTAGCACATTCGTTAACATCTAGCACTGGATTGGCAAAGAACAGAAGATACCTTATTTCCCCGATAAGTCGCACTCGATTTTAAGTCGCACTCGATTCTAAGTCGTACCCCGTTTTCTGGCTTGAGCCAGCTTTGATATAATATTCACATCAGTACGTAGCAAGTCATGCTCGATTGTAAGTCGCATCCCCTTTTTACTCTTGAATTTTAGTGTAAAAAGGTGAGACATCTATTCGGGGAAATACGATAGTAGAGATTATATAGCTCTACTTCCTCCGACCAAGCAACATTTTCGTTTATCTTCACACTTTTTCTGACAATTTCCAGGTTGTCGGAATGGCGTATAGCGGCTCGGAATGAGTTGAGGAGTCATTGAACATCACAAGGAAATCTCCCAAGTCGAAACATATGTAGAAGTCATCCTTTGTCATCAGCCGACAAAGCTACTCGCAGCACCTACCAGTGACTGACTTTGTGTTTTTTGACCAGTTACTTGCCTTCAACGCACTCTACTCTAGGTGTTTCTTTACTCTTTGCTGACTTCGCCGACTTGTGTGGAACTGGTACGCTTGAATGGATTGTACACGAGCAGATTTCTGTGATGGTGAAGTAAACAAGATGTAAAAATAGCTGTCGGACACCTGTCAGTGGGCTGAAGGAGATCAGCAAAAAGTTTGCCTGGGCGGAGGGAGTACATCTAGCGCAGGGTTGCGAATGCAGAGAATAACTAGATGTCATCTTGTAAAATTAATGATATGTTGTGTTTCCTGTGTGATGACATTCCCCAAACTGTCTTTGTCTAGTCGCGTGCATGTGTGATATGAGCATGCGCGATTTTATAGTCGACAGTCCTTCTGTCAGTCTTCTTGTTTGTCTCTTTGAAAGTAGTCTGCGTTTCCGCCACGTCAATAATAATAATAATAATAATAATAATTTGAAACTCGGATGTTGAGCCATAAATAAATGTGGAAGAGAAAAGGACATATGGATACGAGTTAAGAGTAACTCTCCATCACTGTAACATGATACTATATACAGTCAGAAAGTGCAATAACTAGGCACAAAACTGACAGAGTACTGAAACATTCGACGTCCTGACACCTAGCTTCAACACATCTCCGTAGCGCTAACCGACAGCCTTCCAACTTGGAAGGTTCAAGGTTATGGAAAAGACCAAAGAGGGGAAGGCAAGCGCAACAAAAACGAGCAAAAGCTACAGTCCCAACGGAACAAAGAATGTCGATTGTTACTGGACGATGACGAGACCAGTACGATATTTGACAAAGCGGTCTAACTACAATACCCTTTCTTTACTTATCTTTGATATTTATGACCCACCCAAGTTGGGTGGTGTGCTGCTTTGCTGCTTCGAATTGTAGTTAGACCGCTTTGTCAAATATCGTACTGGTCTCGTCATCGTCCAGTAACAATCGACATTCTTTGTTCCGTTGGGACTGTAGCTTTTGCTCGTTTTCGTTGCGCTTGCCTTCCCCTCTTTGGTCTTTTCCATAACCTTGAACCTTCCAAGTTGGAAGGCTGTCGGTTAGCGCTACGGAGATGTGTTGAAGCTAGGTGTCAGGACGTCGAATGTTTCAGTACTCTGTCAGTTTTGTGCCTAGTTATTGCACTTTCTGACTGTATATAGTATCATGTTACAGTGATGGAGAGTTACTCTTAACTCGTATCCATATGTCCTTTTCTCTTCCACAATAATAATAATAATAATAATAATAATGATAATAATAACGTAACAAATTGGTCTTGTCCTTTGTGTCCTGCGTCCCGGGAACAGAATGGCTGTGATTCCGTAACAGTCATTTAGCACAGTGTTGGGAATACAGAGAACACTGTTCTAGCTACATCTGGCAAAATGTTGGGAACACAGAAACCGTCTCTCTCGAATGAGTGAACAAAGCTCTTCACAACTTCTCCAACAGTTTGCCAGCCTGTCCTTGCAATGCAGAGGGATCTTTCACTGCGTGATTTGCTTCAGAATTTGGCACATTGTCCGTGCTCACAGGATCTCCACGACCATGAATGATACAGCTTGCAGCTCCCAAAGCACTGGCAGGTTACTAGATTAGTTGTCAACAGCCCAGTATTTTGTATTTGTATTTTCCCGATGATTGCGAGAGCATGAAACTTGAAGTAGTAGCAAACAAACCTTGATTGTCCTTGTTGCTCCGTATTAGTATTACATTTTTATGGATTCTCCAAAGGCCATGGCCTAAATCGAGAGGGGGAGGATGGGGGGGGGGGGGGGGGTAGTAACATCCCATTTGCTGTATCCAGGTTTCAACTAACGATTAAAAAACCAGTAACGTATCGAAACACAACACTGGGGGAGAAAAGAGAGAGAGAGAGAGAGAGAGAGAGAGAGAGAGAGAGAGAGAGAGAGAGAGAGAGAGAGAGAGACAGAGAGACAGAGAGACAGACAGACAGACAGACAGACAGACAGACAGACAGGCAGACAGACAGACAGACAGACAGACAGACAGACAGACAGACAGACAGACAGACAGACAGACAGACAGACAGACAGACAGACAGACAGACAGACAGAGACAGACAGAGAAACAGAGAAACAGAGAGAGAAAGACACACAGAGAGAACACCCGTACGTCATCACATACCTTTGCAAGTTGGTATCGAATGGGAAAGCAGAGAAGTGTCAGTACATGCGGCACTCTCAGCTCCGACCAGTACGTATCCAGCATTGCAGGAATATCTGACACTCTCATTGTAGTTAATGGCTGGTTGTCTTGGAGACATGTTACCATTCACCGGAACTCGAATGCTGCACGTTTTCACTGGCAATAGGAACGAGAGAATTGGCACAAGAAGCAACAGCATTGTACTCAAAGGCTTTCAAATATATTCTAGCCATTCATTATTCTCGACCTTCACTGATGAGACCTTAGTGGTCGAAACAGCACTGTATGGAGGAAATTCTAGTTGTCAGTATCTACTACAACTTGGAGTCATGTTGCTGGTGTGAGGTTGGCCAGAGAGCTCATGTGGTGGAAGTGGAATTGTCTCATTAATTTAGCAACAGCATATTCAGTAATACTGTATTAGCTTCAATTCTTTCATGTAGGATTTTATATACACAGGTACAACTGTAGTGGTTAGGATCAGCTTGGGGGCCGTCCCCAATGGCTCCGGCTTAAATTTCCTTATTTCAGCGGTATTGCAATGGCATGCACAGACTCGATCTAACATCAATCTCGTGAAAGTGCTCCAGGACTGCATATGTTATGGGAGTATGTTGACGAAACGCATGACTACTGATTGATGGCTTCTCACAGATACTCTGCACACGTAATGTGCACACATCCAATGATCACACAGCAATGGCTCAACCAAGTTCTTTTCCGTCTTTACTCAGAGTTTCACGCGAAACACTGACCAGACAGTCTGATGAGTATTTCACACGAAACTCTGAGTAACGGCGGAAAAGAACTTGGTTGAGCCATTTCTGTGTGATCATTATATTACTGGCTCTGTCCACTGCACATAGAGCAGTATACGCAGCCTGATGACCTTAGACAACTGTCTATGTGCACACATATGTGTGCACAGTATGCACACATATGTGCATACTGTGCACACATATGTGCATACTGTGCACACATATGTGCATACTGTGCACACATATGTGCATACTGTGCACACATATGTGCATACTGTGCACACATATGTGCATACTGTGCACACATATGTGCATACGCATGCGTGTGTGTACAAAATACTTCGACGCACGTGTTAAATGATGCATCCTCCGTCGTAAGACTTGTTGGCAGATTATTCAAAACGATTCATTGTGCCTTGGATGGGTCAATACCGCTCAAAATTCCCCGCATGGCTAAGGCATCGCTTGCAACACTGATCAGCAGTGTCTCTGTCACAGGTGCTTTTGGTGGCAACAAAACTAATGAGTAGGACGGAAACGATTGTAGATTTCACCTATCGATTACTCTTCAGTTTAACGGTCGATTACCCGACTATAATTGTTAACAAGCAGTGTCAGGTTTTTGTGCGTGAAACGTTTGATGCACAGGTGCTGTAGGGGAGAGGAGGAGAGGGGGGGGGGGGAGGGGGAGGAGGAGTTCAGGTACAGCTGTACTGCCTCCTTGCGCCGTATCCGGCACTCATAAGAATGTTAACGTCCAGTCGAACATGCCACACCAGAACTGTTGTTTTAATCCGTGGGTCAAATCAGAAAGGATGAAAGCATGCGGGAGTTGGTTCGAATCCTCGTGGTGACAGTCAATTTTTCTTCAGACTTTTCCCGTGTGTCTTTCCCTCTAAACCAGTGAGCATGAGGGAGTGTGACTGTTATTGATGAGTGTGTGCCCACTCCCTCGGCCGAACTTACTCTTCATCTGAACCCCTCAGGAGAAGGCTGTACGGCCCAGAGGGGTGAAGACAAGCGACCCTCTACAGGGAGCAGGGAGCCCTTGATCAAGTATTTTAGCGGACTTTGACATCTGTTGAGAAGTCAAGTGGCCGCAACATGCTGGCCTTGCAGCCGTGAGCACTGCTGGTCCATTATTATAGTGTGTACGTGAACTACTGTGTATGTATGCACTAAAAGCAGTGAGGGAGCCAGCCCCAGTCACACCATCGGATTTCAATCAGTCCACGCCAGTATGATGAGGCACGGCTGGGTATGTTGCCTGTGCTGGCCCTGGTGGTGTGTGCAGGCCATGGTGGTGTGTGCAGGCCATGGTGGTGTGTGCAGGCCATGGTGGTGTGTGCAGGCTTCTGTATACAATAAGAGGCACATGTACATGTACGTATTGAAGATGGCCGTCACCAGGAGTCCATAACCCCAAGAGTGTGCAACTCTGTACATGGGGGATCCGCGCGGCGGAATTCCAACATTACGTCAAAAATGACGTACACGTTCGTTGCGCTTGTACTACTCCCTGGTTCCAAGCACCGCAGAATGCGGAGTTCGTCCTCTGCGCCTTAGCAGTATGACGTAATGTTGGAATTCCGCCGCGCAGTGGGCCTACAGCAGCCAGAACCTAGTTGCACACTCTTGGGGTTATGCACTCTTCCCGTCACCTTGTTGCAGGGACACGTCGCCCCATATTTGGCAGGTACAACCCATTCTAGTACATTAAAATATATGAGTATGACCTTATACGGTTCACGACCTTTTATGCAGAGCTGTTATCAAGGTGTGTACAGTGGTAATGGACTTGCCCCCGCAAAACTCAATGGCGAGAAATGGATGCACCCATCCCCCATTCTACGCGACCGACTCACCAACGCATGAAAAGTTGGACACGACTCCAACACATCTCTGTCCGTCCGAGCAAGCAGTCGGTTGTTCTTGGGGAATGTTCACACAGCTACTCGAGCAATATGATGCATTCAGTTCTAATGCACAGAAACACACACAAACATAGCGGAGACCAGAGGAAAACAAACTCAGAGTTTTCTCGCAGGGGTAGCCAGTCACAGGTTCTGATATGTTCACCATAGCACAGCGGCCATTGCATAGTCAACAGAGGTGAATCAGCCTGCTAAAGGAACCATTCTTTTCGCAATCTAGCTCAAATGCCAGCACTCCCCCTCCCCCCCCCCCCCCTCTCATCCCAGTGGATAACGGCTCTGTAGCTAACACTCTCTCCCGGGGAACACTGTTCCGTCGAAACTGCACCACATCAATCGGTGCATAGAGTTCGTAGACAAGTTAGACACATATTTTAGTGACAGTTATTCTTTCCCATTGGTTACGTACCCTTGGTCAAGCTAAGCAAACAAACTGGCCAAAATCGTGGAGACCAACTAGGCCACCCATGCTGTTATCCTCTCTAAATAACTGGATAACAGAGCCGATTGGAGTGTCAGAGCTTGACTTCAAGTTTTAAAAAAAACGCCAGTACTTAGTTGTCATTCGTGGTTCACTTTCATATCGGTCGATTCTATGTGCTCCAAACTGAGCCACTATCTTTCAAAACGTGTGTTCCACTACATGCAACCAAAAGCACATTATCCCCGAGAGTTTTGCAACTGCCTGCACAACCTCTATGCAGTGCTGCGATGGCAGAACTTCACATCACGTGACATGGTTCAAAAGGTCACACTGGCAAACAGTGCAAAGTGACCACAAGAGAGTCGTACCCAAAGCTGGGTTGCGTACAACCCTGTATCAATCATGCTGTCACAGAGTGCAAATAATGCGTACGGGTTCATCACGTGATGTGAAGTTCTGCCGTCACAGACCCCATAGCTGGAGTTGCACACTCTTGGAGGTTATTTACTCTTGACACAACTGACAAGTGTGGTGTCAGTGTAACAATGAGTACGATGGCGCACAGGTTTCTCACCATCCGATGGGAAGTGAACTAACATGAAACTGAAATGGGACTGGTGTAAAAAATGGACAACACCATAACACACACATAACTCACTTGTGATATAGTCAGTGACGTTCTTGCTAGCATTGACTAACTGTGTGAAATCTACAGGCTCTACCAGCATACACAGCCTAGTGTCCAAACTCAACGGATTGTCCATTAGCTCTCTGAGCAGGGAACACAACAGTGGAGAAATGTAAGAAAGTGATCGGCAATAGGGATTTCCTGGTACCGACTATGCAACAATCACATCAAGTCAAAATACTGAGGGACGACTCTCGCAGCGCTTATTTGAGTGCAGGCAACTTGTCTATGGACGAATTAAATCATGTCAATCTTCTCTTATCGGCCACATGCCATCGTGAGATTAAAATATTTCAAAATTTCACCGGTAGCTCCTGCCTGTCTTTGTGCGCATTGTGAACTTACGATATAGACAGGTTGAGACTATTGGCAAAGAGACCGGGAGGGAGATACTTTAGCTGATTTCCAGACAAATACCTGCACACAAACCAGATCAGCACACAAACAAAATGTCAAAACCGAAACGAAAGATCTGGAGCACCAAAAGAGAAAATGGATTCTGTTGGTGGTGATGCAAATTATTTATTATTGGGAGTATTGCTCCCAATAATACATAGCTACAGTTCGCATGTCACTCATGGAAGGATCCATGGGCTTAACGCATCTGTCAACGAAATCCAGGCAGAAGAGCCAACAAAAGGCATCTCAATATTGTTAGAACATATCGCAGTAAGAATAACTACGCAAGCACAGCACTTTTTTCCACAAGCATCAGCCATTTTTTCTTGTCTAGAGCCAGTTCAAAACAGCCAGAAATATCAATATTGGCGTGCTTTATATCAAACAAACAAACAAAAATAATAATAACGATTGGACGCCCTGTACAAGTGCATTAGAATATGTTTTCACGACTCAGGCAGGTGCTCTGGAAAGGATCCAGCAAAAATAGAACGAGAATTAAAAAAGAAAAAGCGCTAGCTACTTACAGCTCTGTTAAGTCTGGGTTGTTAGCAAACAAACCAGAAGGTAAACTTTCTAACATGTTAGACTCCAAATACCTGTAGCAGCAACAGACAGCATACATCATACGTCAAACAGCATACTGCATACAGCACATGGCATAGTGCATACAGCACATGGCATAGTGCATACAGCACATGGCATAGTGCATACAGCACATGGCATAGTGCATACAGCACATGGCATATGGCATAGTGCATACAGCACATGGCATAGTGCATACAGCACATGGCATAGTGCATACAGCACATGGCATATGGCATAGTGCATACAGCACATGGCATAGTGCATACAGCACATGGCATAGTGCATACAGCACATGGCATAGTGCATACAGCACATGGCATAGTGCATACAGCACATGGCATAGTGCATACAGCACATGGCATAGTGCATACAGCACATGGCATATGGCATAGTGCATACAGCACATGGCATAGTGCATACAGCACATGGCATAGTGCATACAGCACATGGCATAGTGCATACAGCACATGGCATAGTGCATACAGCACATGGCATAGTGCATACAGCACATGGCATAGTGCATACAGCACATGGCATAGTGCATACAGCACATGGCATAGTGCATACAGCACATGGCATAGTGCATACAGCACATGGCATAGTGCATACAGCACATGGCATAGTGCATACAGCACATGGCATAGTGCATACAGCACATGGCATAGTGCATACAGCACATGGCATAGTGCATACAGCACATGACATAGTGCATACAGCACATGGCATAGTGAATACAGCACATGGCATATGGCATAGTGCATACAGCACATGGCATAGTGCATACAGCACATGGCATAGTGCATACAGCACATGGCATAGTGCATACAGCACATGGCATAGTGCATACAGCACATGGCATAGTGCATACAGCACATGGCATAGTGCATACAGCACATGGCATAGTGCATACAGCACATGGCATAGTGCATACAGCACATGGCATAATGCATACAGCACATGGCATAGTGCATACAGCACACGGCATAGTGCATACAGCACATGGCATAGTGCATACAGCACATGGCATAGTGCATACAGCACATGGCATAGTGCATACAGCACATGGCATATGGCATAGTGCATACAGCACATGGCATAGTGCATACAGCACATGGCATAGTGCATACAGCACATGGCATAGTGCATACAGCACATGGCATAGTGCATACAGCACATGGCATAGTGCATACAGCACATGGCATATGGCATAGTGCATACAGCACATGGCATAGTGCATACAGCACATGGCATACTGCATACAGCACATGGCATAGTGCATACAGCACATGGCATAGTGAATACAGCACATTGCATATGGCATAGTGCATACAGCACATGGCATAGTGCATACAGCACATGGCATACTGCATACAGCACATGGCATAGTGCATACAGCACACGGCCTACTGTATTCTCCAGAGTATAAGCCGCACTGGAGTATAAGTAGGGATATCAGCGAACACACTGCGCACGGGGTTTGCGCAGTTTTCAGCGCTACCATACCAATGTACGTACTGGCGGGGACAAAAAATTGACGCAAATAAAATGGCAACTGGTCGAACGTGGCTCGGACCTACATAATTATTTGAATAATATGAAAGCACATACTGCTGTGAACAGACCCCCATTGTTTCGATTCTGATGATGTCCGACTACTGTGCACCTCACTTTGGGCATCCTCTGCCAGCAATTACACTAACGAACTTATACAAAACACACAGTATTAAAAATCGGCGAAGGACGACAGGCGCCTAGGCCCATGTTCGTCGATCGTCCAAGCTTCTTCATCTTCCTGAGTTCTTCTTGAATGATCGACCTTGTGAACTTTTGACCTCTGGCAGTCTGGGACCTTGGATTGCTTCGGTCAATTTTTTTCTTGCATGGCACATGGATAGATCCATGGGTGAGGTACCAGTTCACCAAAAATTGGAAGATTTCTCCGGTGGGAACGTTGTAAAAAATCGCCTTCGATTCACCCATGCTCCTTGGGCATCGAAGGACAAATTTGAAAATTCGTCTGAAGAAAGTCCTGGGGCTCGGCTCATCTGTAGTTGATCGCTTGGCTGTTACCGTAGGCATATCACTCTCTACCCACGAATCCTTCACCAGCAGCGAATATACGAAGCAATCAACGAAACGGCAGATCCTGAGCGCAAGGTTCCGACTTCAAGTCGGCTGGCAGCCGCCATTCTCCTTCTTCTCCATCAAGACTCCTTCCAGTTTCCCGGCAAAAATATTCATTTTCTGACTTGGACTTTTCTGGCCGCGCGCGTGGCATGCTGACATGTACAAAATTCGATTACATCATAACTGCGCAAACCCTCTGCGCAGTGTGTTCGCTGATATCCCTAGTATAAGCCGCAACCCGATTTGTTGTGATGAAATACGGTCGTGGACATGGAAATCCGGTCGCACTTCTAGCGGCCCCAGGGCGCTGGCCGTGCCGCCGTGAGCAAGCGGTAAGAGCAGACAGTACGCGCTCCAGCGCACTGGTCGCATCGGATCAACATGACTTTGTGCACTGCCTGCAACGTTCTGTACGAGCTGGGGACGCCGGGCCCGGTCAATCGACTGGATTTCCATGTCCACGACAGTACATGTACAAACGTTACTTTGACCATTGTGCTACAAACTATAAACTACAAACTACAAACCTTTGTGGATGAAGTACTAGTGTTTAAGGTGCAACATATACTCCGGAAAATACGGTGTCTCATACGCCATACCGCACACAACAACGGTCATGCATTATACCAAGAGTACATAACCCGCCAGAGTGTGCAACGCCTGATCCAGCTCTGCATAGGGTCTTGGTCGAGCGTAGTCGGATCTTCTGATGTCATGCGTACACTTCACACCAGCGCAAGGCCAGTCTCGAGGCAGGGCACCGTTGTTTTTGATCCGAGAGTACCCGCGATTCCCCGGGTTCTCCTCAAATGTGTACGGTATTATGACGCAAAGATTCGATTACGCTCGACCAAGACCCTATGCAGAGCTGGATCAGGCGTTGCACACTCTGGGGGGTTATGTACTCTTGTTTATACGTGTACGTACATCATACAGCATGGGTGTGTGTGTGTGGGGGGGGGGGGGGTGCGCATGCTTGGGTGCGTACGCGCTCACGCACGCGTGTGTGTGTGTGTGTGTGTGTGTGTGTGTATGTGTGCGTGTGTGTGTGCGCGCGCGCGTGCATGCGTGTGTCTTCTATTGTTGGATAACCATAAGATAATGTGCCTGTGATTTGTAGTGCTATACTCACAGTATGGTTAAGTTGGGGTTGCTGCTAAACAGATCACTTGGTAATGTCTTCAGTCTGTTACCATTCAGCTTTCTGTGTGCGTGCATAGAAACAAGCATACATGCACGCAATCATGCGCACAAGAATGCATACATACACACACATACACACGTGCACATGCACAGACACACACACACACACACACACACACACACACACACACACACACACACACACACACACCACGCGCACGCGCACACACACACACACACACACACACACACACACACACACACACATACAATATACAATAACACCCATCGTGAGATTGTGCAATAGACATTTACAGAGGATTAGAAAGGGCAGTCAGAGGAGCAGCATTGCCATGTTTGTGAATGAACCCCTATAATTGGTATATCAAGTACTGCGGGGGCTCAAGACTTCTCATAGTCTGGCTGCGACTTCAGCAAATACGTTGTCTTACCAGGGGCATCACACACAGAACGACCAGGGTTGTACCACTTTCCGTCCAGGATGGTCCATCCAGAGTGCCTGTAGAGCTCTAAAACGTGACCAGGAGACTCCCTTTGGCCAGGAGACACCCTTTGATAGGCATCCATTTGCCTCTGGAAAATCCTTGAAAATACTATAATCAATCAACCAGTTCTATTCTCTCGGGTCCGCCAGAACAAGTCCCATTGGTCAGGGCATCACCGAACCAACAACGTGTTGTCCACCAATGCATGTTTGCTGTTAAGGATATCATGTGTACACGCTATATCATGTGTACACACTATATCATGTGTACACACTATATCATGCGATAATACTCATAAAAAGGACACACTTCAGGCTCATTACAAACATCTTGAAAGTTTTTGTCTTCACAAGTATACTTTCAAGCCTTCTCGTCAGGTGAAATACAGGCAAGGGAAAAGGAACAGGAACAGTGGATTAAATACAGTAAGAAGGTGTAATGAGCCTGAAGTGTGTCCTTTTTATGAGTATTATCGCATTTTTGTCTCAGAGGAAACTGTTTACTATATCATGTGTACACGCTATCTCATACACAAACTGTATGAAAGCCTCATTGACTATGGTACGGCCGGACCAATTAAAAAGTGCTTCCAGCAGTCCTGCCTCTTTCATTCTCTCCTAAGTACTGCGTTAAAGTATGAAGGGTTGCGACAAATCATGATATCATAGTACAGTGGTAATTATCTCCGCCTGTCACGCGGACGACCCGGGTTTGATTCCCCGGCCGGGGAGCCAGACAGGGGATAGGAAGTCATTCCACCTTCGGGTCAGAACTAGGAAGCTTCTCAGCCTCTCCTTCAAGCATCGCTTGCCTCTCGTGCTTATAGCATTTCTCTAACTTGCAAATAACTTGCAAATAAGATGGCTCAAAACCGTTTCACGGCTGGTGCCACTAGATGAATCCCTGGTCATGAAATAGACGATACACTGATTTCACGTTGACTTACACATATTCTA